ATTTCATCCTTTTCATTCCTAATTGCATGGATTTGTGTCTTTTCTTTCCTTTTTTTGACAGGGTTGGCTAAGGTTTTAGAATACTGTTAATTTTTAAATGAACTAATATCAAAGATTAAGTAATATCCAAGATATATTAATATTTATATGCTACTGACTGTGCTTTAAATTGGTATAATTTATTCAGGAAGTAACAACCACACCTACTAGGGTCAAAATGATGAGAAAGATAAAGAAGAAATTCACTACAGGCAAATGAAGGAGCTTTACAACACATTAAGTACAAAAACAGAAAAATGAAAAAAACATAAAGAGATCAACTATAAATGGTAGGGGCTTGTCAGTTATACTACAGAAACACAACAAAACAATGCAGCCACTCAGCATTACAGTTAGGAACAGGGTTATCTATGACTTACAGGCTGAATATATTATCTTAATTTCTTGGGACAAGATTTCAGAGGTCTCCAGAGTTTGGAATATTTGCATAGCCTTTATAGGTTAAACATCCTTAATCTAAAAAAGCAAAATCTGAAATGCTTCATAATGTACCATAATGCTCAAAAATTTCAGATTTTGAATTTAGTATGCTTAACCTGTGATAATGTGAAATATGAACAAAAACAGATGTGCATGTATTTGTGTGTGTGTATTAATGGATTAACCCAATGTCACCCTTCTACATATATACCATCTTGTAAAAATCTTTTCAAAATAGCTCACTCCTAAATCTCTAATTTTTAAAAATTCCTCTAATCCATTTTATTTATTCAATTACATTTTTCTTTCTTTACCTTTCTAGCCAAGCATGGCGGTGTAGAAGCCATTCATCCCAGCTACTGAGGAAGTTGAGACAGGATGCTCACAAGTCCAAGGTCAGCCTGAGCAATTTGGTGAGACCTTGCCTCAAAGTTTAAAAAAGGTCTGTGGGTACAACTTAGTGGTAGAATGCTCCTGGTTTTGATCCTCAGTACCACACACAAAAAATCCCTCCTTTAGTTTTTATGCACCCACCTTTCTAATTATCTCATTCACTCACAAAAAAGTCACTGCTTATCCTGTTTTCCTTTCCAATTCTAAAGACCTCACTCTGTAAAGCCTACAGAGTGAAAAACAAAGTCACCCTCTGGTCACTACACTACCCTCCCACATATCCTGGTTTGGTAACACAGCAGTAAACAGATGGAAATGAATGAAAACTGACAAACTTCATGTCTCAAAGCTATCTTGTAATTATCTATCTATGTGTATACCGAAAGCAGAAACTTAAAATAATAAATTACTACATGTCTCTCACCTATTGCAGGAATCTGATTCTGATGAGAAAAGAGTCACTTCTTGAATATCAGTACAACTAGAAGAATCATCTGCTCTTTTGGCCTTGGATTTGCTTGGAGAGACCAGCTTTGATGGGTGAAAATGGTCTGCTTCTGATGTCACATCTGAGAATTTCATTTTATCATCTTTTGGTCCTAAAAAGAAAAAAAATTTAAAAGACAGAAAAGAAATATTATTAAATTTAACATTATTAAAATCTACAATTTCCGTATGCCCATTACATCTATAATACAATATCGTTATTTGTACTTCGTAAAATAGAAATCTGTAAACCACTGATTCTAAAACTCAGTGACATGAGAACAAGAATCAACACAACAGTGTGACCTAATTACACAGTCTACTTTGTTATTCCACTTAATTTAAAAATAAAATTCCCTTTAAAATCAGAAATGATAATCCTTATAATTATATTGTACTTGTAGAAATACACTAAGTGAAAATTGAGCATCTATTGCAATGCCATCTCACAAAGACACCTGCTATTGACATTTTGACACAAATTTCTCCAAGTTAACTCATTCCTCTAACTAAATCTACACGATTTATTACTGCTATTTTAAAAATAAAATATTAATCTTTTACAAATTAAAAATATGTAATTCATGTTGTCTATATCAAGACATATAGTTCTCCTTATTTGTTTACAAATTATATATCCTCTTCCACTGTATAGATATACTGCAATGCTTCAGTGATTTGTTTAGAGATAATGGATTGGTTTTGGGTTTTTTTGCTATTTTGAATAGTTTTTTGTTAAACATTCTTGTACATAAATCTTTGTACATGTGTGGAGAGTTTTTACAATACAAATTTCAGTATTTTTCCTTTTAATATATTATGGCATTTTCCTCCCAAATTTACACTCCTGAGTGTGTCACCATGCTAATTTCTCTCTTTCATAGATGGCATCAAATATACCATTCTTTATTGTTTGCAGCTTGATAGGCATGAGATATCTAACTGTTGTTTATATTTTACTGTCTTTAAATTTTGAGTAAGGTAAAATATCTATGTGCTTGTTGAATGTTTACCTTTCTTTTGTGTGTTTCCTTCTACAAAAATCTTATCCTAATTGAAAGATTTTTATTAATCTTTGAAAAAAGATAAAGGTGCAGAGAAAGCTCCCAGTGTTTTCACAGTTGTGACACACAAGTACGGCCAGAAGTCTGCAGAGATGAATGCAAAAGTCAGTAGCTGCACAAGGCTCCTTGCTGTCCACACTCGGCCTCTCATTTTGTGTTTCAGGACTCTGTTGAGATTTTTGTTTGTGCTATCTTTTTAAAAATTATTATTCAGGACTGGAGACTGAACCATCTAGGGCCTTTGTACCCAACCCTTTTTATTTTTTTATATATATTTTTAAAATGTTAAATATTATTATTTTCCTATTTTTAGGATAGCCATGGAAACATTTTGAGAAAGGGTCTCGCTAAGTCACTAAATTGCCCAGGCTAGGCTCAAGCTTGTGATCCTTCTGCTTTAGCTTAACAGTAACATTGGAATTAGAGGAATGTGATATCATGCTGGGTTCATCTGTGTTGTATTTAAGACTGAGGAGTTGAATAACCCTAGCACTGAGGGAGGCTGAGGCAGGGAAACCACAAGTGCAAGTCCCTCCAGGGCAATTCAGCAAGACCCTGTCTCAAATAAATTTAAACAGGGCTGGAGAAGTGTCTCAGTGGTAGAGCACCCATTGGGCTCAAATCACAATATAGCAAAAAAGAAAAAACTTTTGAAAATTGAAGAATTGAGTAATTATTTCACAAGCAAGCACATGTGGTAAATTTAATGTGTTTTCTCACCAAGAAACAGCTTTCACACACCCCTTATGGAGAGTACTTATGGAGCCAAATGACCTCTAACAAAAGACATTAAAAAGAACTTCATCATAGTTACTTTTCTAGTAGCTGAGACAAAATACCCAACACCCAAAGTTAAAGAAGGAGAGGTTTACTTTGGTTCACAGTTTGCAGAGGTTTCAGTTTATAGTATGCTGCTTATAAGGCAGGGTAGCCTAGCAAAGGGGCATTGCAGAGGAAAAATAGTTTATGGCAGGCAGAGGGTAGCAAAGCAGAAGGCAGCAAGCAGTGAAGTAGTGAAGCAGCAAGTGACAAGTGATACTCTTTCTCTCCCTTATATCTTATCCAGACTTCTCATCCTTAAGGTGGGTAGCAGTCACAGTCAGGAAGGGGCGATCTTAATCCTAGCACCACACCATAAATCAATTCTGGCATCACACCGCCTAGATCCAGCCACCTCTGAAAAGCCCTTCTTAATTACCACATGAGGCTTTGGGGGAACATCTAGATATAAGCCATAAAAAATTTTCAAAGTTTTGCTACACAAAGAAAATTTATGAAAAAAGAATAGATCAAACTCTTCAAAAAACAATGTTTTCCAAGTTCATCTACTTAAGAGTTTTCCCCAAAAGACTAAGTTTTTATCATACAAGGAAAAAAGTATACATCACGAGTATAAACTCTGATGTTGCCTATTAGTAAGCCATTATCACCAAACTAAGCTCTGCCATCGCCCTCTAAGGCTTCAGGGAAAAGGAAAAAGGAGCTCACAAGATGACCCCCCCCCAAAAAAAAGATGACCACCCAGTATCTCTAGGGTCTCTGTTGTAATCACATTACAAGGACTGTGCTTTAGTAGCACATACACATTACAAGGATCACCTTAGGGTACCAATCCCCAGAGACACTACATGTGCCCAAGGCAATTACATCTCTCAACTCCAGGAAAAGCTAACAAGTTGACAAACCAGGGAATCCAGCACTCCGGGAAGCTAAGGCAGGAAGATCACAAGTTTTAGCCCAGCCTGGGCAACTTAGTGAGACTTTGCCTCAAAATTTAAAAGAGAAGGAGTGGTGTTGGGCATGTAGCTAGGGGTGAAGACCAGGATTTAGATCCCTAATACTACAAAAAACAAACAAACAAACAAAACAACAGGGAACAGGAATTCAACTTAAAACACCCTCCTTTTTTGCATATAGCCTATATTCTCTTTCTTCTTTCCTTTTTATATTAGTTTCTCAAAGATAAATTGTGTTGGGGACATGGGGACAAATATCATCCAACAATCTGTGGGTACTGAAAGCCAGTTATCCTTCCTGTTTGTCACTGCTCCACGGATACAGGCCTTTTGGTATAGCACCAATACTAAGCCTCAGACATCAGGCCTCCCCAGGCACACAGCACTAACAGGGAAAGCCTTTCCCTTGAAAGAATGCACATCCTGCTCACTTCAGGAGCACTTCAGTGTTTATTCTACAGAACAAGTGGAACTGCTGAAAGGACAGTACACAAAATCCAACTTCTCAATCAGCTCGTGTCTGCCTTCCTCACTCTCATACTCCCCACGTATGCACAGCAACTGTACAGCAGCCTTCACCCTTGAAGCCCAGAGGAGCAGCATTTATGTGCACGCACATACGCAGTACTGTACATAATACCCAAGTGCAAGCAACATTCAAGAGAGATTCACTTAATCAGCAAAAAGTGTTCTCCTTAGGGGCCAAGGATTTAGCTCAGTGGGACCATGCCTGCCTCACAAGCTCAAGGTCCTGAGTTCGATCCCCAGTACTGCAAAAAAAAAAAAAAAAGTGTTCTGATGGAAAAGAGACTAGCTTCTCAGATTATCCTTTAAACAACTACATGAATAAATTTCAGTGGTTCA